ACTTCCTGGTCCCCAAAAAGGATGGCAGACTGTGGCCCATCCTCGACCTCAGGCACCTGAATCGAGCCCTCATGAAACGGCCGTTCAGGATGACTACACTGAAACAGATCCTCTCGCAAATATGCCCAGGGGACTGCTTCTTTTCTCTGGTCTGAAAGATGCCTACTTTCACATCCAGATAGCCCCCCGTCACCGACGATTCTTGAGATTCGAGTGGCTTATCCTTCCCTTCAGGCTGTCCCTAGCTCCTCACATGTTTACGAAGTGCATGGATGCGGCTCTTTCCCCTCTGAGGCAGAAGGGAATTCGCATTCTGAATTGTTGAACTTGTTTTAGCCCAGTCGGAGGATGAGCTACTATCCCACAGATCCCTCCTCCTCAGCCACTTAGAATGCCTGGGACTCAGGGTCAATTTTGCCAAGAGCTCTCTGTTCCCCAGCAAATGGATCTCGTTTTTGGCAGCGGTTTTCAACTTGGCCCAAATGAGGGCGGTGGTCGCGCCAGAATGCGCACCGGCCATACAGCAGCTCGTGGCTTCCTTCAAAGTTGGAGCCTCTCGCCCTGTCAAAGTATTTAAAAAAATGCTGGGCCGTATGGCCTCCGCATGTCCGGTGCTACAGTTGGGCCTTCTTTGCATGAGGCCGCTACAGTACTGGCTGAAACCAAAGGTTCCACCCCTAGCTTGGCGTCATGGACGCCTTCGTATCAAGGTAGACCAGGCATGCGTGGCAGCTCTGGTACCTTGGAAAAGCCCCCAGTGGCTGAAGCGGGGCGTAGATCTGGGTATGGTCTGCTGAAGGAAGGTTATCTCGACAGATGCTTCCAACACAGGTTAGGGAGTTCTGTGCGAGGGCAATCCGGCTTTTGGCCCCTGGTCAGAGGAGGAAAACCAGTTACACATCAACTGCCTGGAAATGCTGGCAGTGTGTCAAGCCCTTCAAACCTTCCTACCAGATCTAAGGGTACACCACGTTCTAGTCTGCTCAGACAGCATGACAGTGGTGTCCTACATAAATCGCCAGGGCGGGCTCACTTCAAGGTGTCTCTTCTCCCTAGCAGAGCGCCTCTTGGAATGGGCACACCTCAACTTGCGTTCACTGAGAGCAATGCATGTTCCGGGCATTCTGAACCAAGGAGCAGACATGCTGTCTTGGAGCAATGTCCCCTCAGAGGAGTGGATCTCTTCGCCTCAAAAGACAACTTTCACTGCCCAACTTATTTTTCGAAAGACAAGAATGTGTTGGCCCACGACTGGCCCAACCTCCTCTTATACGCTTTTCCCCCAATCGCCCTGGTCCCTCAGGTAATCAGGTGAATCAGGGAACACAAACACACAGTTCTCCTGGTAGTCCCACTCTGGAATAACCAGATATGGCTCTCTGAGCTGTCGCAGCTACTCACAGCTGCCCCATGGCCCATTCTCCTGAGACAGGACCTCCTCTCTCAGGCGAGCCTGAGCTGTGGGCTCTGCATTTTTAGCCTCTCGATGAGAGCCTACATACCTTCCCAAGAGCGTTCTGAACACTATTTCACAGGCTAGAGCCCCATCTACGAGGTGCCTCTATGCCCTTAAATGGTCGGTTTTCTCCGCATGGTGCAACACCCGCGGCAAAGATCCAACTTCTTGTGACATATCAGTGATATTGTCCTTCCTCCAAGAGTTGTTGGAAAAGGAATATTCCACTTCCACACTCAAGGTCTACGTAGCAGCTTCTCAAGCTCCTATAACCAGCCAGTCGGTGGGCAGGAACAACCTGGTTGTTCGCTTTCTGAAATGGTCTAGAAGGCTGAATCCGCCTCACCCCCTTACTGTCTCTTCATGGGATCTGCCCACGGTTCGGATGCCTCTCAGGAGCCCCCCCTTCGAACCGCTACTATCGACCAACCTTCGGTTGCTGTCGCTGAAGAACGCCCTGTTGCTAGCTTTAGCATCGTTCAAGTAAGTGGGAGACTTGCAGACGCTCTCTGTAAGCCCTGCCTGCCTTGAGTTTGGGCCCAGCGATTCCAAGGTCGTCCTGAAGCCAAGGCATGGATATATACCTAAAGTGCTCTCCACTCCATTTAGAGCACAGGTTATAACTCTATCGACGCTTACTCCCTCGGAGGATGACCAAGAGTTAAAATTTCTCTGTCCTGTCAGGGCTCTGAGATTTTACATTGAGCGTTCCGCCCCATTTAGGCAGTCGAAACAACTCTTTGTAGGCTTCAGTGGCCGTGCCAAAGGGCTTCCGGTCACGAAGCAGAGACTATCCAGATGGATAGTAGACGCTATTACGCTAGCATACTCCTCTTTGGGCCTGCAATGCCCCATAGGAGTAAGAGCCCACTCCACTAGAGGCATAGCCTCGTCCTGGGCTTGGTCTAGTGGTGTGTCCATCGCAGAAATCTGTGCGGTGGCCGGCTGGGCATTGCCGTCCACCTTTGCCAGGTTCTATAATCTGGATGTCCCGGCCTTACAGGCCCGGGTCCTTTCTGCATAAGAGGGCATGCTCCTGCCAAGGGCAGAACCAGTTCTTAGGCTTGCTTATTATGTACTCTCTTGGCCCTTCCTAAGTGGAGAGGCTGTACAGAGCCTTCTCTGGAACAATTACTCAAGGCTGTGCTGACCTCGAGGAGTTTGGCCCTCTTGCCCCCTGCAGGGCTTACGCTGCTGAATACTTGGCCCCTCTGAGCCCCTCAGTGCTTAATTGGAGTTCAAATATTGGTCGTTCCTCTAGCATAGCACAGCTGGATTGTTCTGGTTCCCCATAGTGTCTTAGTGATGCAGTACGAGTGAAGTATTGATAGGGGACATACTCGGTTACTAACGTAACCTCGGTTCCCTGAGATACGGGAATGAGTACTGCGTAACTAGCCGTGCTATGTAGCTGCACGACTCAGTGTCGTCGCTTCAGTCGAAGTAACCTGAGGACCATATGGCGAAATGCCCGCTTATATAGCCAGATGACCCCACCCATTCTGGCGGGTTTCACTGCCATAGGCTCGTGCAGCTCCGCTGCCGAGCCATTGGTTCATTTTTAATTTACTGCACGAACCAATGGCCATGCAGTTACACTTCATTATTAAAAAAGGCTTCAGTCATCGGAGAAAATTGACTTTTTCCCATAGTGTCTTAGCAACATAGTACTCGTTCCCGTATCTCAAGGAACCAAGGTTACGTTAGTAACCAAGTAAGTTTCATTTTATTTACCCGTATTTTACATTATTTCTGAATGCAATAATAAAATGACTTATATACCGATGCAACTTACCTGTGTTTTTTCCCCTCAACAATGATAGATTTTTTCAAGAAAATATGGTACTTGTCATAGTTATTTTTTATTGACTAAAAAACTGTATTTTATTGGTTTCTGCTATGTTTTTTAAACGTAATTTTTAAAGTTTTTTTTTCTTGCAATTTTGAGTTTATATCTCACTTTTTTTTTTGCAATTCTGAGGAAAAAAGTCTGAATTGTGAGATAAATCACTTTTTTATTCCATGGCAGAAACAAACAAAGAATTGTGGTATGTAAACTCAGAATTACAAGAAAAAAGGTTAAAATAAAATAAAAATAAAACTTGACTTTTCTTTTTAATTCTGTGGTGGAAACTATAACTTCCATGGTGTTTTGCATGAATTGCAGTTAAACTCTTTTGATTTGTCCTCATCAGAGTGGAATTATTCATCTGTTTGTTTGTCGTTGTTTCAGTGTAGTTGACAGCAATGTTGGACTAAGTCTCCACACAACTGAATTCTGATGTATGCAGTATTTCTGCAGGGTTTGTGTTTCTCCATCACTGAGGATGGGATTTTCTCTGGCTGTGAGTGCAGGATCAGACAGTGATCAGATGCGAGCCCGTACTTCCTGTGACATCACATCCAGTCATCCTGATGGCCTTCAGAGACATGCTTGAGATGTTCAGATCATCTCAGTCTCAGTCTGAAGCTGATAGGAGGAGACATTCTGATCATGATGGAGCTCCATGGAGACTCCAGTAAAGCATTCAGTGCTCAGAGTTTCTCATTCAGAGCTCAGATGTTTCTCCTAAAACTAAAAACAGACCCAAATGAGTCACTAGTCATTGTCCAGATTTTATGATCTTGAGATCTGAGGTCTCTTTCTCAGGAGGAGCATCTCCTGCTCTCCGTGTCTGTAGGAGAAAGTGCTGAGATCTTCAGGAGGTTTGCTGTGATGGTCGGTGATGAAGCGCTGCTGTTCATGAGTTATCGGCTTTAATCGCACCGCGTCCGTCTCTGATGACTGATATCCCAGCATGCACTAATGGAGCATCAGAATGGACTGCCTTTACTTTCCTAGTGCTGCTCTTATTATGCATAATTCATCTTCATAATGTTTCAGTCTTACTCTCTCTGTCTCCGAAATGAAACTTCTGATGGTATCGATGGATGGACAGCAATATGAACTAATCTTAGCAATCCAATCCACTCTTCATGTTCCAGTCAATTTTGTCAAATTTGTATTAAGTGATTTTTTTATGTTTATAATGATGTAATTTTTCTAATGTATTTGTTCATGTGGACAAAATAACAGTAATATGTTGTTTCCATTTTAATTTTAGTTAAATTTTTTGTCATTTTGTTGTTTTTTGTAATTTTAAATATTTTTTTGTCCACATGAACAAATACATTAGAAAAATTACATCATTATAAACATAAAAAAATCACTTAATACTAAAATTTGACAAAATTGACTGGAACATGAAGAGTGGATTGGATTGCTAACATTAGTTCATATTGCTGTCCATCCATCGATACCATCAGAAGTTTCATTTCGGAGACAGAGAGAGTAAGACTGAAACATTATGAAGATGAATTATGCATAATAAGAGCAGCATTAGGAAAGTAAAGGCAGCCCATTCTGACCACTGGCATTAAACGAATAATGTCACAATGAAAAAAACTAGTGTTCATCAGTATAAACTCAGTTTTCTTATGTTTCTAATGTAAACGCTGCTCTGTGCTGTATTGAATTGTGTGTTTTTCTCTCTTTCTGTCTCAGACGAGTCGTCTGGTTTTGGGCCCGTGTTTGAGGAGCAGCCCTTCGACACCATTTACCCTGAAGAGTCTCCTGAGGACAAGATCATCATGAGCTGCAGAACACGAGCGAACCCGCCGGCCTCGAACAGGTCACACACACACCGGACACTAAAACACACAGTTCACATGCTCACACTTCAGACACTCTGCTAAATACCAGTGCAACTACATGTCAACTCACTCTCATTAGAGTATTACTAGACTGTTAGGTTTAGGGTTAGTCGAATAAGTTGACATGTAGTCACCAGTGCAACCAACTCACTCTCATTAGAGTATTACTAGACTGTTAGGTTTAGGGTTAGTCGAATAAGTTGTAAGTTGACCACATTATGGTCAGTAGAATGTCCATCAAAATCAAGTGTTATCAGATATTAATCAGACAGTCACTGATACTGATGATGAGAGTTAGCTGACATGGAGAAAGTGAACTATCGAAATGAAGTGTTACTGTCGCTTTAATATATATATATATATATATATATATATATATATATATATATGTAGTATGGTATATATATTTTTGGACATTATATACCATGCTACATTTATATACCGTACTACTGAAGGTTTACAATATTCAAACATTATAGATGGATATGACTTTTTATAGGGTTAAGATGATAAATGATGATCCAATAAATAATCTAAGTTCAACAATAATAGTCCAATTATCTTCTTTATTATTCACTCCATCACTGAAAATAGTTCTGTGACAGTGCTGTAGTTCATAATTCACATAAAAAAATTAGACTTTAAAATTACAGGTGAATTAAATTAAGTTTTTATTTTTTATATTTTCCATTTGCATTTTATATTAATTTAATATGTCTAATATGCCTAATGAAAAAGGGGCATGTTATCTTGTTAATTAGCTGAAATGAAATAATTTTTTTATATTAAATATTTTTTTCAGTTAATGTTTTTTCGTTCTTTTTTTTTTTCAAATAATTTAAAAAAAAATGCTTTTACTTTTAGCTATAATAACCCTGTCATATGTTACTTCCAAAGTATTTCAAGGAATGATGTGTTCAGTGTCCATTAAGTGATATTATCACGGTATCATGTCTATTTTTGTGGCACTTCAGTCTAAAAGAATTTGCTGCTGTAATTTGGCTTAATTTGGTTCCACATCATAATTCCTCTAAATCTTCTTTATCATTGACCATTAGATTTATTTAGATTCATTCATTGTAGAACTTCTGTAATAAATGTATCAGCAATAATCTGATAAATCAGTCTCAGTAAAGGCATTTTGCATCAGTTCTGATGGTGTGTGTGTGTGTGTGTGTTTGTTCTCAGGTGGAGGCTGAACAACACAGAAGTCGTTATTGGAAATGACGATCACTACAGTCTGATGGGAGGAAACCTCGTCATCAGCTTCCCCGACAAGAGCAAGCATGCTGGGAACTACTCGTGTCTGGCCAGCAATGAGTTTGGGACGCTCGTCAGTCAGAAAGCCTCTGTTCAGTTCGGATGTGAGTCACTCTTACAGAAGAGCTCTATTAAAGCTGCCCTGAACGGCCTGTTGACTTACACACAAACACTCTCTCTCACACACACACACACACTCTCACACACAGACACACAGCAGAACACGAGCGAACCCGCCGGCCTCGAACAGGTCACACACACACCGGACACTAAAACACACAGTTCACATGCTCACACTTCAGACACTCTGCTAAATACCAGTGCAACTACATGTCAACTCACTCTCATTAGAGTATTACTAGACTGTTAGGTTTAGGGTTAGTCGAATAAGTTGACATGTAGTCACATTATGGTCAGTAGAATGTCCATCAAAATCAAGTGTTATCAGATATTAATCAGACAGTCACTGATACTGATGATGAGAGTTAGCTGACATGGAGAAAGTGAACTATCGAAATGAAGTGTTACTGTCGCTTTAATATATATATATATATATATATATATATATATATATATATATGTAT